TCAACCGCAATCGTAAGTCTCTTGCGCTGTTCAACATTGAGGCCTTCGCCTGGAACACCGATAATGGCATCTGCATAGGCGTCCATTCCGAGGAGCGAAAGAACAGTCTCGACATAGTCCAGTCGTTCTTCCTTGGAGTACTTGGCTGGCTGCCGAAGCATGGCACTAAATCGTAGCGCTTCTCGTACCGTTGAACTGGCCTGATGTAGATCCTGTTGAGTCACATAGCCCGTCTTCCTCTGGAAGGAAGAGTCACGAGAATGACCATTAACAAGCATATCACCGGAAACAACACCCATGGTCACTCGACTGGCTAGGACGTCGAGAAGGGTGGTTTTTCCAGCACCTGAGACACCCTGTGAATACGTTAGTAAAGTCTGAATGGTGAAAGTGAAGTACCAGGCTAGGGGAGGAAAGAAGACTCAGGACCTCGACCCTAAGGGATGAAAATAAATAGGTAAGTCTAGCCTAAGCTTAGGGGACTTTTGACATCCTATCAAGGCCCGATGTTTTCTTGCTCCCTAGGCCAGGGCTGTATAGAAGGTACTCACCATGAGAGCTGTCAAGGTTCCGGGTTTGACCCAGCCATCGACATGATCCAAAATCCTGCGCGTCTCGCTCTTGATCTTAACGTCGTAGCAGACATCCTTCCAATGGAAGACAGACGTTTGCTTCTCGACCTCGACCTTCTCACTTGAAGAACCAGACGCCTCTTGCTTTCCTGTAGGCGTAGGAAGACCCGACTCTTCATCGTTGGCCCGCTTGCCAGAGACCTTATGCATGGCCTCCCGGAGAAAGACCAAAACTTCGCCCTTTGAGCGCTCTGAAGCGACATACTCGGTAGTCCAGAGGTGAAGAGCCATAAACAAAACAGTCCAGGCGATGATAATACCGAAGTTCCTCCATCGGTGGCTGTTGACAAACCCAAATGAGGCTTTCAAGTAATCCTCCCCCTTGACAAACGGTTGACCGGGAACGGATCCGGGCACGTTGCAAACGTATTCGCCGTTGCCCAAGTTCTCGTAACCAGGACCATGCGGGACAAAATCGGAACACGGAAACTGTTGACCGACAAATTCGATCAAAAATACGGTCTCCAGTCCGTAATAAACAGGATTGACCCATCGGATCCAGCCGAGCCAGTTCTGCATGTAAGCTGGCGGGATCGCAAAACCGGAATACAAGACCAAGGCCAACAGAATGATGCAGGCGGGCGCCAACGCCTGCGCGATGGACTTGGTTGCAGAGCCAATCAACCGGAACATCATCGACATACAAAGAGTTATAGAGAATGATAGAAGAAGAAATGCGAAAAACGAGCCCGGTTCTCGGCGCAGGTTACACATGAAGTATAGCGTGCAATTGAGAAGGATCGAGTTGACGATTTTGTAGGGAAGATCGGTTGCCATCGCCGAAAGGGCCTCGGCACTCGGGTGATAGAAAGCGTACCGAGACTGTTTTTCGACGACTTTCCGCTTCGCATACAGAGTCATAATCTCGAGGATGCTCGCGAAAGCGTTGATTAGGACGATGAAAAATAGCAAAATGGTTCGACGGAAGAAGCTCGTGGTGTTGAAGGGGAGGTTATAGAAGATGCTCGAGATAATCAGACCCTCGAACAAGTTGCTGATAAGCATCGTGAGAGTGATGCTAGGGTCCCCGATCAACATAGCGAAGCCTCTCCAGAGGTTAATAGTATACTGCTGCAGATAGGAAAGGTTGAAGGGAGATCGTTCCCTCTGAGCTGCGGCTTGATCGAGCCTCCGTGATTCAGAGAATTTCTGAAGATCCGGTCCGTCAAATGGATGCTGTTCCATGTAGTAGTCTATCTCGTCGATAAGCCTCGATCGTTGCTGGCTTTGCTGCCACGCTCGCGCGAATTCGTCCGACGTTCGAGGTGGGTTTGCTCCCTGACGGACTATTCTCTCAACGGGGTTCGTCATTGAAGTGAGGAAATCGGCCGTCGTCTGTTGTTCGGGGCAAATGAAGCCGAGGTTCTCAAAGTAGGCTTGGGCCTCGTCTGTCTTTCCGAAAAAGATTTGACGGCCCTCGTACAGGACGATGACCTTGTCAAATAGCTAGAAACAAGTTAGCCACGCATGTCGATTGAAGAATGCGTGGAATACCTACATCATAGGCACTCTGGGGCGCTTGGTAGATTGCGACGCAAGATGCGATACCAAGAGTATCAGCTTGAGTACGCAAGACGCGACAGAACTCAACAGCGTTGGCGCTGTCGAGACCTCGTGTACTGTTGTCCCAGCACTGAAGAGGAGAGTATCCCAGGGCCGCCTCGGCGATTGTGACCCTCTTACGTTCGCCACCGCTGATACCACGGACATAGTCGTCACCGACTCGCGTATTCTTGGTATGTGAAATGCCAAACATTGCCATAATAACATCACGAAGATGCTCGGCATACTCTTGAGCGGTGACGCCGTGGGGCAGCTTGTCCTTTGGAGGACATCGGCATCGAGCAGCAAAGTAAAGCGTATCGCCGACAGTCAGATGAGGGAAATGGTGGTCGACTTCCGCAGTGTAGATGGCTTCACCTCGGTAGGCTTTCTTCATCTGCTCAGGCCGGATACCCTGGTAGTTTAAGATTGTATCGTTGCCAAAATGGAAGCCATGAGTCTCGCCTGCAATACTGCGAAGCAGGGTCGAGCAACCAGAGCCTGGAGGACCGAGAACACATAGCATCTCTCCAGACTCGACGTACCCATCAATATGACGGAGGATGTCAATGCGCTGGCCCTTGTCCCCAAATAGCTTTCTGGCGAAACTCGAAGCCTTGAGGACGATGTTGGTCAGAGTATTCTGAAAGTCTGTCGCCTGGCCAAAGCCGTACGCGTTGAGGTTCTTGAACGCGATACCGGCGGTGCGAGGAGTACTGCCATCAGCAGCTTCGGTTCGGGTCTTGAGATAAGCCTTTGCCCATTTCTTGGAGTTGAAATGGGGGCTTTGCGGATCAAGAGGACCGCCATCACTCAAGGGGAATAATGGCCCATGGCCTGATGCAGCAGATTGACTGGTGAATCTACGTGCCAAATCATGGATTTCCTCCTCATACTCAGGCTCATCAGATAGGTCGTTGTCCCGTGTTCTGTCGCCCAAAGTGCCAGAGGACATGGAAGGGGCGTTACTAGGGCGCGGATTGTTTGGGGAATTCATCTGGTCTTGGGTCAAGCAGTTTGGATGAACTTTTCGGAGGAAATCTTGGATAATAGTTAATTTGATAGTGACTGCAAACAGAATAATGGTGATAGGATCGCTGATGTCAAGTCAATGGCATGGTTTGTACTGGGTTGTCTTATAAGTCGCAGTAAGAGGCATATTAAAGACGTGGACTGAAACAGATTTTTACACCGAAGAGTCACTAGTTTCAACCTTAATCTTACGTAGCGACGGACACCCGCCGCTCAGACATACCGGCCTTGAAATTCCGTCATGATACATATCGACTTGAAGGCCGGACGGAGGGGAGGACCGAAATAGTGGGGCTTTGCGGTATCTCGGACTGTCCGAGCACCGGGTCACTTCCCCTTTTGTGAAAGATAGCGCCACAGACTCATCCCTATCTAACAGATCAATGAAGTAAATCTTGGCATCATCGTCGTTTAGGGTAACGTGTTGTAAATCTGTCACTTTGCCAAGCCCAAGCCTGGGAACGGGTTTCGCGGAATCCGTGATAGGTAGCTACGGACCGACTGTATGTAAGCCTCAGCTTCAGCTGACTTGTCCTAAGTTTATGAAATACCCCTAAGGCATCTCTAAGCTTTTAGTAGTTTTATACATTTAGGTCATTAATACTAAGTCGCTTTCAAACTTAGACTGACTCAATATGATTGTACAGTAGAAAGTACATCCGCTTAGGAGTTCGTTAAATTTCTCTCTCAGTTGAAGCGAGGGGAAATAGGCCTCCTAGTCAACGAATGTAGCTAATACACCCCTACCCACAAGACACTAGACACAAGATACCTTGGCCAACAAAGCCGTGACATTGGGATGGATCGGCCAGCATTCAACAGTACTTGTGTCCAGGCTTGTACATTTCGTGACATGAGACAAAAGGATTGGATTTCGCTGGGCTCTAATCGATTATTCTTTTCAGCACGCCCCTACCTGATGGTAGAAAATAGCTATAGAAAATGGGAAGTATTGCAGGTCATGGTAGTATTCTTAGGCATGGAGCTGGCGAATGATAGGCTATTCTAATAAGTCCTATGTCTACTAAGTATTTTTATGAAACTATGACTATACCTTCTAAGCTTTTCTGCATTCTTATGATCCCTATCCTAAGAGGTTGCGAACCTTTGATGCTCATCTCTACAGCCCCGAGGCTGGTCAAAACACAAAATAGGTACGGCAAATACAAGTGATATCCGTCGGAACAACAACCTCTGTCTGATTACCTCCAAAGTATTCTTCTATTGTGGTAGTCTTGTATTGGCTGTGAAGGTCCACAGCTATGATTGGTTGTTGTCCAGCATCATGAATATCTCTTGGTTTTGCTCAAACCAGTTCCCCAGCTCCATATTATGGTCAAGGCTTCCCGCCATCATATTCCCAGCTTGTCCTGTTGATAAGCCCCCGTAATTAATCTCATTTGAGAGCTGTGTGTCATCGCTAAAGCCCTGGATATTTGCGTGCATGTTCAGGTGGCTTGGCACGGGAACCCCCGCCTCGTAAAACAGCATCTCAAATGGTGTATCAGGTATGCGTCCTGACACCTGCACTGGATGATTATTGGATCTCGAGCCCACATACTTGCAGGCAACTTCATACATCAGCTTGAACAAATGAAGCTGCTTTCTGTACACATTTGGAAGATCTGGGGGTATCATGTCGACCGTTTTAACCACCGCTGCAAGAGGCTCCAAGTGAGTCGGGTCGCAAGTCTCGATGGCATGGCAAAACAAGACCATGAATGGCACCAGAGGTACCGCCATGAGTCCCCTGATCCTTCTTCAGCTTAAGCACTAACACCTGGGTTGGAGGTCTTACCAATGCATATAAAACTCAAAGACGATGGTTTCAACATTCTTGAGCATTGACAAACAAATCCTGTGTTGCTCAAGGCCATTCTTTGCTGCTTCCAGGCATTCGTCGCAAAATGCTGAGGATGTCAAAGACGCAGGTTTCACTGCTCTGAACACTAGACAGCGCATGGAATAATATGCGACCTGATCGGTCCGGCGGAAGATCTCGCTCTGGCTTTCGCCGATGCTTGCCCTAATTGACTCATACAAGTGTTCCTGCGAATGTATTAGATAAAATTTGCCTATTATTGTGTCGGTCTTGAGCTTACTTCTGCCAGACTCTTTGTTTGGAACAGCTGCTCCATCTCAGCCGCAAGTCTCCTCGCATTCGTCTCCCTCTGAATATCCGAATGGAGCAAAGACCCCGGACTGTAGAGTATATCATAAATTCTTCCTTGAAGGCTACAAAATCGTGCCCATTTCGCAATGATCGGAGTAGGTCCGTCTCCTCTATCGGCCTCTAAAGCATCAAAGTTAATGGTGATTTCTCCATCTCGGATCAAGACTGGCCGACTGAGTCTCAAAGCGAGCATCTTGTCGCAAAGATGGATGTAGAATATCAGTTTAGCCCGCCGTTGCTTTGCTTCTCTCGACTCTGGCGTTGGGAGATTTTCCCGGGTGAAACCTAGTGTCTGGCACATTTGTACTGCTGCAGCAAGAGTATTCCAGGACAAAGAAATCCGGCAATTCTCGAGATGGTAGGATGACTGGACTTGTGTTATTGGCACGTGCCTTCGAAGGGGCTTTCCTGCGGAGACACTTACAGCCATGAACAGGGCGAGTATGTAATCGGGTGTGCAGGGCATATTAAAAGGAAGGCTAGCCAGGATAGACTCCAGGTTCTGCCGGCAAACCGTCGCCTGAGATGCAAACTCATTCTTGAGAACTTGTTCAGTCTCGACGTTGTTGCATTCGTGCAATAGGCTCACCAAGCCAACATGCGTAACGATGAGATCAGCGAGGGTAGGCTTGCCAAAGTAGACTGTCATGAGATACTCGACAAATTGACTGATGCTGTGGAACTCTGCGCGCCAGAATAGCTGTAACCTGGGAGACTCTAAGACGATATCAGTCTATTTATAGGGACATGTGCCGTTCAGATTACCTCTTAGTCTCTGTACAGCCATCATGGCCAGGTTGACGGGAGGGAGCTGAAACCCATCATGTTCTTGAGGTGACAATATTCGTTGCGTATCAACAAGACGCGTCTCGTCAGCCGTAACCTCCTTGCCCGCCAAGATCTTGCGCAGCGCGTCTAGGTGACTCTTTATCTCTGGAAGCGTCTGCGACGGCTGATTGCTGTCAACGAATTGCTGCAAGAAATCTGTCGCAAATGTAGCCTGTGTCGTCAACGTGACATCGCCTTCGAACTCTGAGCCTTTCTCCGGGCCTGTTCCAACATGGCACGACGGGGAGCTCGCATGGGATATTGGGGTAACTTGTGAACTGATAGCAGTATGAGCAGCTGACGAGCCTCCTTGCAACTGCTGAGGAGAAGAAGTGATGTTGTCGACAGCGAGGCTTATGCGATCAAGCTTTTGCGAAATGGCATCCAATTTGGATTCACTATCCCTTATAAGCTTGTTTACTTGGTCAATTCTCTCGCCTCTACTCACTAGCCATCAGATACTGCGACCTGCTGGCGTTTTGCTCGAGGCTTGAAGCCAGTGGGGAATGAGCAACGAATATCCTTTCGTCGACATGGTCCACAAGGATCTCCACGGTCGCATTTGATCTATGGCGGGTCAGTGAAGGTGCTGCTGAGATTTACGTGTTTACCTACCTACCTTTCTTTGTCTACATTGGTCACACTGGCAATTGTCAGTTGCCATCCAAAATTACAGCACAGCAGCTTACAGAGAGCTTATGCTCGGGAACTCGACGCGTCCCCGAGACGGCGTTGTCTTCTCCATCGCTTTCGTTTGGGTCCAGATTCATCGTTGGCATTAGGCTCAATTGACTTGTCAAAATATTTGGCAAATTTTAGAACACTCGGATTCGTCAGAGACTCACGGATATTGGCCTACAAACCGCCAAGGCCAAACCTCATCCTTGATGATGGCATGAGTCTCTTTCGGGTAAAGGCTCGGTTTCTCGGAGCCCCGAAAGACCGTAGAGACTGAGGGACGCGATTGGTTTGCAGGTTCGAGTAGACCAGCTACCCTGGAGGTAGAAGAAGTCAAGCAAGCAATTACCATCACAATCAATAGGGCTCAGGTATATAGCTTGATACTATATGCCTATGAATATTACCTCCTTTCTTCGTAGAGGTTGAAGCTTTTTTCCTTTTTTTTAAAGACAGTTTCCGGATGCATTCGTAATCATACTGTACCAATTCCCAAGCTTGGGAGAAACGATTTAGCTGCGTGTTTGGAGCATAAACGTCAGAGCTGGTCAAAAGATCTGATTTGTGGAAACAGCAGTCTGAGTCTAACCGGATCTGGAGTAGACTATGACTATCTTGACGTCACCCTTTTCTTTCGAATTTAACGCGTTATCCCTTGTCGATAGTGCCTTAGTACGCAACGACAACGCGTGTCACTGGACTTTAAGTAAATATACACATACAGTTACCACGATATACAACTTTGGCTTTCTCAAATAGGAAAATACGTTCTTTACTGTAATCTTTGTAGTTCTATCATTGCTTGGCGAACAAAAATCTAACACCGACGTCATGATTACTCGATGAAAACCGAACGCTCCAGAACACCTAAAACATCATCCTGCCTCAGCAAACCCCGCTCTACCACCACGTCCAGAAACGGGCGCTCCTCAGCCAGAGCCGATCTCACGATGCTTGACACTTTGGCATAGCCAAGGCTTGGGACAAGAGCTGTTGCAAGTGCACTCGCGTCAAGAAGATGCTTCTCTGACGTCTCCTTGTTTGCGATGAGGCCCTCGACGCATCGCTTGGCGAATGTCTTGGACACGCTCTTGAGAAGTTGTATGCTGTCGAACAGTCGGTCGCAAACCAAAAGCTCATAGTGGTTGATTTCCAGCATTCCCTGTTGACATGCCATGGAAACAGCAGCATCATTTCCAGTGATGGCCAATGCCACTTGACAAACCGCAATGGGAATCACAGGATTGACCTTGCCGGGCATGATGGAAGAGCCTGCCTGGACGGGCGGGAGAGTAATCTCAGCAATACCGCCATTGGGTCCCGAAGAGAGCAAAATCATGTCGTTTGCAATCTTCCACAAGCTATTGGCAGTGTTGCGCAGCTCGGCTGAGAGACGTGCACAAGTGTCCATGTTCTGCATGCCATCAAACGCATCGCTGCATGGCTGCACTGCAACTCTCAGCGATGAGGAAAGATGCTTGAAGACTGCTGCTTTATATCCAGACTTAGATCCAAATCCAGTGCCAATAGCAGTGCCGCCCATGGGGAGCACTAGAAATGAGTCACGGATTGTGCTGAGGTGCTGTCGATGTCTGCGAATGACTGCCTCATGAGCACCAAGAGCCTGACCGTAAGTCATAGGCTGAGCATCCTGGAGACAAGTCCTTCCAAGACGAAGAAGAGTAGAGTATTGCAGGCGCTTCACAGCAAATGCATCCGCAAGCCCTTGGAGTGCGTCCAAAACACCCTCCATGGCACGATACACGGCAAGCTTCATGGCTGAGGGTACAGCATCATTCGTAGATTGTCCCATGTTGACGTGATCGTTGGGATGAACAAACGTGTAATCAGAAAGAGCCCGGCCTGAGTTCTTGGCAACAATGTTGGCGATCACTTCGTTGACATTCATGTTGGTAGAAGTTCCGCCAGAACCCTCCATCATGTCAACTGCGAAATGCTTGTCATGGACTCCAGTTTTGACCTCTTCGCATGCCTCGGAAATGGCGTTGGCCTGCTCAGTTGTGATAGTACCGATTTCATAATTAGCACGGGCTGCTGCTTGCTTGATTACAGCAAACGCGTAGATGAAGTCTGGCCAGGTGGCGATGGGTCGTCCTGAGAGAGGAAAGTTTTCGATGGCGCGGAATGTGTTGATACCGTAGAGAACGTCGTCTGGGAGCTCAAGCTGACCGAGACTGTCTTTTTCGAGACGCTTTGTCTCGATGGTAACGGTCACTTTGTGACCATTGGCTCCTTTGACGAGTAAGCCGTTCGTTGGCTTGGGCTCGCTGGGAACAACCTGACCAATGTAAGCACGTGAATGTGACTGCGTTGGGCAGAGATAAGCGGCCGCTTACGGTCGAGATGATTTGAGTGACCGTCATCGTGTCGGCTGCTGGGCTGACAGTCTTGAAGATTATTTCAAAGTGATGAGGATGCTGCTAGTCTGGTGTTTGTGCTGGCTTGTTCTGCTTTCTCGTGAGATTCGAGAAGTCTGTCGGTGACGGCGCTGACCATCTATATAGAAATGAGTGGTGTTGCTAATGAGGCCCCCGAGGCTGTTGACATAACCCGGTTTTCTCTCCAGTCCACGGGGTGAGGCTTTCAGCGGGATGAACCGGTGAGAACAGAATCCAAAGTCGATGGTACCTCAGAAACCCATGGCCGCCCTACAAGAGGTTGCAGTCGCGGGTACTCGCATACAGCCTTCTGTCTGACATACGGCTGACCAACTGGGTCTCTTCCCTCCCATGCTTCGGCCGCTAAACCATCTCAGCCGATGCTGAAAAAGCTCGCATTAGCGGCCGAAAGAAAGAAGAAAGGAACGAGAATTTGGCCCGCGTGACATATGCGGTGCCATGACACAGCCAGGGATCTGCACTCAACGGGTTTCCGACGTGGCAGATCCCTACTGAGCCGATAATCAGCATTTCCGGTCTGTAGGGGAACATTTCCTACCCCTCCATTAGCGTTGTTGTCACATCCCCCTCCTTTTGGCCCAGAGACAACGTATGTGCATTTCTGGGCGCAGTACACCGTTGAGAATTGCCGCTTGACCGGTGAGCTGGGTTGCAGAGCAAATCGAGCGATTTGCCGCTCGACACTCGTCAGGCAAGCGTCAGATCTGGCAATAGCCGGGTCTCGGCCTGGAAATCTGAGGCCATATCAAGCTCGGGGAGGCAATGCCTTAGATCTCAATCCCAAGTGACAAAAAGAGTGGCCCAAGTCTACGAAGGTCTTTGACAAGTTTATTATGGTAACTTCCGTCAGGCTCCGGATTCTTTTTTCTCCCCGAGGCCAAGCCATGTCATTATCGACCGCAAGCTATCTCGACTCACAGTTGCATTTTGAGGTTACTGGTCAGCCACGTGGTTTGTCAGAACATAAGCATGCAGAAAGGGTAATATCGGCCTTATCTTATAGATTTACTATATTAACTTAGCCGAGCTTGCCAGATAAAAAGTTCTGCTGTGTAACTCTCAACAACGTCATTCAACATGCACAACCACACCTTCTCCAACACTAGAAATGTAGAGTGACGAATTGCTTCTTTTATCTTTATGCCCACTGAGAGCAATTATTTAAAAATTCCAACCAATCAACATCAGACCATAGGCTCTCGCAGAACTCCAATGATGGAACCTCAAGTTCTGTTGGTCTTTCTACCGGTCCGGCATCTTCATTGGTTGTGAGCATTTGAACAATGCTGTCTAAGTCTGCTAGTAAGGCGTTGTGATCTCGGGCAGCCGGGTTACCCGCTTCAGCCATTTCCTTTAAAATGAGGCCGCACTGAGTATAGAGATGCTCGTCATTAAGTTCAGAGGTTTCGGTAAGCTCGGGAGCGACGGCTTTTGCAATAGAGATGATAGAGAGGCTGCTGAAAGCGTGCACTGAGTCCCAATAACCGAATCGCGCTGGTGGGAAAGTTAGCATTCGTACTGTGATCGAATCAGGGCTTGTTAAAGTGCTTACCATGTTTACCGCGATTGAAGAGGTCTATCAGTATCTTGCAATTATTCCTTGCAGCATCGTGGCCTTCCTTGGTCAGTACCTCAATTCGGTGGCGCATTGTTGCATTTAATCTTGATTCAAGGTGGTCAGAATCAACTCCCTGCAACCTGAGAGACAGCTTCTTGGAGAAGAAAGGTCGAAGTAGCACCATGAAACACTATTCAAGTCAATGCATGACGTCGGAAGGTTGACCAGAGACCTACTTGGTGATATCTCAAGTATAGCGATGCAAGTCCGCGAGCACATGATCGCTGGCTCATTTCCTCCGGCACACCATTTTTGAAGTCAAATGAGATATATGAAGGTACCTTTTCCTTCCAAGACCGCAGCGTATCGAAGCACGGCCATAGCTCGAACAGCATAGTCTCCAGATCCGAGACCCGACGTAAGTGACCGACAGATTCCATTATCTGGCACTTGATCTCGCATATTTGTGTCTGCAGTGTCTGGACTCTCGGATCAAAGAATTGGTCCATTTCTGATTCCGGTATGTCGCGTGAAGATGGCAGCCCAGCATCGAACTTATTCATGGCGTGCGCTGGGGCCAGTCCTAGCTCTGCCACGACCATTCTCTCCATACAAAAAGATGTCCACCATAGACGCTTTCGATGTTCTAGAATAACCTCTTGCCCTGAGGCCGATGAGCTTGGAGTCCTATCAAGAAACAAGAGCTTGGCTACTGCTAAGCTCTGCGTCGCATATTTGTAGGCCATTCTCCGACGATTCAAGGAGTAGCAGTAGAAAGCCTGTTTTATGTAAGATAGCGCCAAAGCTGTCAAGAGTGGTAGCGTACCATGAGATTCAATGCCTCGACATCTTCTGTTGTAGGCTCCTCTGATGAAACATTTAACAAAGCTACAGCTTGTTCAAACAAGTCGGATCCGGGAGGTGTCGGGGTTTCATACTGTTCAGCCGCAACTCCACCAGAAGGCTGCGATCCATACATGAACGTTGTAGCCAAGGCAAAGACAAGAGACGCCCTCGAAAGCCAACTTCTGTCTTGTGACTGGGTCTTGGGATCTGAGAATAGTAGCTGAGCCCGTTCCCTAAAGTCTCTTCGGAGAAACCAATGGTGGTCGCAAAAGATGTCCTCGAAGGTGTCAAGTAACTTCATAGCCAGCGGCGGTGATGGAAGCTTTATCAATATCCTCGGCTCTGAGCAGAATTAGACTCCTAAATTATCATTTTTTCAAGGCTGGAGTCACATACCTATCAAGTCGGATTTAAGTACCGCATATGAATATCCGCCTTGCTGCGGAAGTCCTTCGGGACTCGCAGGCAGCGCCATCTGCCGGAGGTCATAGACAAACCGTTCTGCACTGCAGTCATCTGATATAACAGCCCGAGCTGCGACTCTGCTGCTAGTCGAGGTACCTGGATCCGAAGGGCTCTGTGACTGTCCTGAATACTCGGGTACATCATCCGTGAAGCTGGGAGTCAAGGATGACGATGGCCGAGAGCCTGCAGCTGTTCTCTCAAGATCCCGTAGGTAGGCTTCTGGCACGGTCACGTATGTAGTCTTTACGGGGTAAACGCAGTCGCGCTGGCGACGGGCGCATCGTCCACATGGATGAGCTCGTTCTATCAGCACAGTTGTCAAACATAACAATGAGTAGCGTTCTTACCGCCGTCGCACTTCAGTTTCTGAGAGTGGCAAACTGTGCATGCTACTGTGCTTCGGCCCTTGAACCTGCCCATGGCTCACAAACAGAATCGATATACTGGCTCTAATCGCTAGTGACCGTTGTGATAGATATTGCTTTGTGCATATACCCTGGCTATGAAGCTCTGGAGGAAACGACCCCGTCAATTGCTCGGGGAATTGAAGGCTGGACCCAAGCCACTGGTCCGAAGAGGCTTAAACCAGCAGGAATTTTAGTGGATGCATCGATCGCAGGACAAAGTTTTACGCGATTCAGGCGTGCCACCTAGACATCACGATAAGTGCTCCCATTGCTACATCACTATAGTCTGGGTTTCATATGAGTCTCATTGAATTCTTTGAGTAAGTGGCCCAAGGCTCCGATGCGTAAAGCTTTCTCTTTACTAATGAAATACTGGGCTCGAAAGCATCTTTGGACATCAGACAGAGCTTGAAGGAATTGGAGACTTGGCTTAGTGGAGAGGAGAGCATCGGCTGGAGCGCATTAGCGGCCGAACATGAATTTGACGTCTCATGATTGGTCTGTTCATCACTAGAAGCAGGTCGGCTCCCATTGCATTAGCGGCCGACATTCCCAAGGGTCATTCACTGGATTATGACCTGTAGATAATGACGCAGGAGAAGAGCAGATCATAACCGGATGCATACAGATTTGATCTAGTGAAAGCAACCCCTGTGCGCCCATACATGTTGATGTACAAGGGCACGCTGGCTAGGGGAGGAAAGAAAATACAGGACCTCGATCCTAAATGACAAAAAGATTTAGGATAGTGTAGTCTAAGTTTAGGATGACTTTTACTAAGTTTATTTTAACACCCTACAGTAAGGTACACTGTTTTCTTGCCCCCCAAGGGCCGGGTTCGGGTCCAGGTCTAGGTCAGGCAATAGGCCAGAAGGGCAATTCGCCTAGCCCACGGACGGCATGAACTCAGTTGTAGGTAGGTTGCAAAAATGAACTTTGCACATTTTGTGACAAGTTTGCTCGGCTGACATACTTATGCAGCCGAAATCTTTACCCACTCCTCACCAATCTACAATTGCTGACTTGGAGACACCCCAGGCCCCAGGCTCCACATCAAACATGGGGAATCACTCATGTTTTCGACAAAGGCCAAATCTGGCCCCATGGGGAAGAGGGGTAAGCTAAAAGGTACAGAGGCCATGGATGACTCCAAAATTTTGACATCGTGATGCGGGGTGATGATCCTGTTGCTGGAACCCCATCTTGAGCACAGCAAACTTTAATTCTTAATGGGCATGTTCGACACTGTCTCTCTGCATTCCCTTCATGTGTTACAAACATACTCAGAGATAAGAGTGCTGAGGCTCTGGGCTATGTTTAATGATAAGTTGATAGCAGACATCCCAATAGCCTTATCTGAAAATGAAGATACGAGTTCTTGAAGCCAATTTTCTAATCACGGATGACCCGTATCATGACACCAGTGGAAAATCTGGGGAACTAAGATAAGTTGCAACGCTAACGGCCGCTTTCTCTACCGAGCCGAAACAAAACCTTCGGTTCCCTTCAACTTTCCTATCTCGTGGGTGAGGCAAGGGTTCCCCGTATCGTACTCAGAACAACATAAAATCCGGGGCATTGGCGTTCTCCTAACGGCCTCTATGCCTACCGAGCCGACAACAAGTTCGTTTTCCTATCTTACCATCATCTGTACAGCGTCTTTCACAAGGCTACCCCATGCCAAGCGACTACGCAGAGTCTGGGGAAGTGCTCCAGGCTGATAAGACACCAATGGTTTTGCATACATTGCAGATGTATAAAGACAAGCGTTGCCAGTCGGGGCGGAAAAGCTCCTCGTCATTCACGGCATCAACTCCTATTTCAGTCAACAGTAGCATATACAACAAAATGGATATCGAGAAGAAGTCCCACGCCAGCATGGACGAGAATGAGTCTTGCGACTCCAAGAGCCAGGGGCAAGTCATATCTCCTAAGCCTGAAGCTCTCCAGCACCTTTCTGATGAGGAACTCACGGCTCTGGAGAAGCGCCTTAGGCGCAAGATTGACCTACGTCTGCTTCCATGCATGATCTTGATCTACATCATGAACTATCTCGACAGGTAAGATGCCTAACATATAAAGGTTAGCAGGGATGCTGACGACACAGGAATGCCATTGGAGCAGCCCGACTTGGAGGCCTGGAGCAGGATCTGGGATTGAAAGGCAATGAGTTCCAGGTATGAAAGACATGGAATCTTCTCTCGAGGTTGATCTAACCATTATAGACTGCCGTATCTGTGCTTTTCGTTGGCTATGTTCTCATGCAAGTTCCTTCCAACATGCTGCTGAACAAAATCGGAAAGCCAGCCTCCTACCTTACGGCTTGTATGACCGGATGGGTATGTTATTCCCCAAATGCTCAAGCTTGACAGTAAGACTGACAGAGACAGGGCGTTCTATGTGCTTCCACTGGCGCTGTCCATAGCTTCGGCGCACTCACTGCAGTTCGCTTCCTTCTCGGCTTTGTTGAAGCGGCTTTCTATCCCGGCGCCATGGCAACTCTCAGCGCGTGGTATGTGCGAAAGGAACTAGGCATTCGAACTGCGATCTTCTACTCCGGATCTCTAATCTCTGGCGCCTTTTCGGGACTAATCGCCGCCGGCATCATTGACGGCATGAACGGTGTTGGTGGACTCCTGGCCTGGCGATGGATCTTCATCCTTGAAGGCTCAGCTACTGTTGTCATCGCCTTCTGCTGCTACTGGATTCTCCCCGACTTTCCAGCAACCACTAAATGGCTCACTGAAGAGGAACGTGCCATTGCTTTGTGGCGTATGGAAGTTGATGCTGCTGGTGAACAGGACTGGACAGCAGGTGACCAGCAATCTCTCTTCCATGGTTTCAAGCTGCTTCTCCAGGACCCTAAGAACTGGATCTTGATTGTTGTCTGCTATGGCGCTGCTAGTGCCATCGCAATCAACAGCTTCTTCCCTACAATTGTGAAGAGCATGGGCAAAGACAGAATCACTACCCTCTTGCTCACCGCACCTCCATATCTACTGGCCTGCATCGTCTGTGCGGTTGTAGCGTGGAACGCCGACCGGGTGCAAGAGCGCTTCTGGCATACCAGTTTGTCTATTGCTTGTGCGCTTGCAGGCTTCATCATCTCCGCTTCCACCACCGGCATTGGCCCTCGCTACTTCGGTGCCATGATCATGCTTCCTGGCATCTACTCCGGCTTCAACATGTCCATGGTATGGACTGCTAACACCAACTTTCGCCCCGTGTCTAAGCGAGCTGCGGCGCTGGCATTCAACAATGCCTTGGCGACTATCTGCAGTATCTACGGATCCTTCCTGTATCCCAATGGTGCTGAGCCGCGATTTATCCTGGCTTTCAGTGTAAATGCCGCTATGGCTACTATCGCTATAATCGCCAGTATCGCGCTTCATTTCGTTTTGAAGCGTGCTAACCGGAAACTGGAACTCAAGGAGGCTGAAGAGGAAGCTGTTGGACGACATCTCCCAGGATCTGGGTTTCGATACCTTACTTAAGTGTCATTGAGTAATAGGATGAAACCGAGAAGTTTGGTGTCAAATAGTGAGAATACTTAGGATAATTTAGGATAATTTAGGATAATTTAGGATAAATTAGACCAGATCAGGTCGGCCCGTTATTTAAATATTTTCTGGCTTTAGAAATGTGATCCTCCTCATGTTACCAGCGGAAGACATCGAGACGCTCGACATATTACTGCTAAACAAATTTAGCATACCCATCCACCATCGACATTGTAGACCGCGCCAGTCACAAATGATGCCTCATCGCTGAGTAAAAACGCGATTACTCGAGCAACCTCGACCGGATCAGCTCTTCTCTTTTGCACAGTTCCCGAAAGACTGCGCTTGATGTGTTCTTCATCATCATGCTCGTTCATAGCAGTACTCACGGATCCTAAACAAAATCAGCCAGTATTGAGGCCTGTTAGTGGTAAAAGCATACCAGGTGAAACGCAGTTGACTCGGATGTGAGCATTCTCCTTCGCAGCTGTACGCGAAAGGCCGATAACAGCTGCTTTGCTCGCGCAGTATGCGACATGCCCCGGAGCACCGAATTGGCCAAACACGCTGGCAGCTGAGACCTGAGGGATAATCAGAGATTGTCCAAAATGTTGACCCTCAAACTTACAATGCTAGCACCGGCGGACATGGCTCTGAGCTCTGCACGCAGGCAGTTGAACACTCCGCGGGTATTGACTGCAAACATCCTATCCCAGACCTCATCGCTGTACTCAGTAAGAGGCACTGGCTCAGCAATGATACCAGCCATGTTCACAGCACCATGAAGCCCGCCGAAATTGTCGAGAGTCGTTATGATCCAAGAGTCTACTGAGTCGCTTTTGCTGACGTCTACCACTTGATAGATATGCTTGTCACCTGGCAACGAAGCTTTGGCCTTCTTCAGTGCTTCTTCGTTGATATCGGCGAGGGAAATTGTAGCTCCTCTCTCAGCAAGGAGCTTTGCGGTGGCCAGACCCATACCGGAGCCAGCGCCGGTCACAGCAATCTGAAGTGTTATTCCTGCCTAATGTTGCGCGATGAAAGAGTACTTACCACTTTTCCTTCAAAACATGCCATTTTGGAATTTGGTATCATAGACAGTGAAGTTTCTTGTACATGGTGAAAACATTGGAGGAGGCTTTGGGAGGTTTAAGTCCACAACAGCCCAGCCATACCAACATGTCTGTGACGCAAATCATTCGAAGGCCATTGGCGATGAATTTACCCCGCACATAAAGGTGATAAGCGGTTCTGGAAGTGGAAAGTCATCCCAAGTGGCGGTTTGTTACGAAGAACTCATTATACGGCTACATTTGCGTGGGGAGCGTTGGCTGGCCATCAACAAAGCAAGTGAGGACACGTCACATAACCACATTTACATGTATGCATGGCAAGACTTGCCGGTTCATATTGGCGCTATCTGTATGGTCTCCGATTTCGCTATTTACACAAACCCATTTTGTCTATCGGTGCTGTCCCTCCCGATCCATATCTGCTCAATACGTTCTTTCGTTTCCGTAAATATCCTCAGCCCGCTTCTCTTTGCAGCGCATTCAAACCATTGTACAAACGACGCCCGCATATCATTATCATCAGTTTCACAAGCAGCAACAAACGCAGGCCATATCAGTCTCAAAGATCCGTATCCCATTCCCGCATCTGATGCATCAAACTCAAGCAGCCGATCCCGCACACCAAGAACATGCTTCTGAAGCATACTCGGATCCAGATCATAAATTCTACGATAAAAGTATACAGAAAGTGCGTGCTGCATTGTATCAGCCAAGCTGTTCAGCAGATTGACAGACTGTTGGTGTTCTGGATCAACAGGGGCTTCGACCATCCATATGGACTGGCGAAGCACATGAAGTTGCTTGATCCATCGCTCAACTGCCTTTGCTCGAGCCATGAACTCCTTCAATGTGAGTCCAGAATTGATCAGTTCATCTTGGTTCTGCTCCTTCTCTCGCGCAAGCCGGATGACCAGCGAAAGCATAAAGAGGTGGAGTTCTGGTACGCCAAAGATCTCAGGATAGAGTGTAGCCGACCATATTCCTGGATGCTGAAGATGGAGGTCATTTTCTCCCTCTTCCTGACCTTTCACCTTGTGCATCTCCTGGTCCAGGTTACTCCACGTAGTGAGTCTGAAAGACAGGCTATCCTGACTATAAGCACTGGCGCCGCTTGCTTCTATCGCCTCACGGACGCGGTTCCGATGATCCAAGTTCAGTGCATTTTGTGTAAAAGTGCTCTCGTGGGACAGCCGCTCAAACACGTAGCAGTGATGCAGTAACCTGACTTTGCGAGACTTTCGTCGGTTCAGGCCTTTTGTTCGGATAAACTTCTCCGTTTCCAGGAAGAAGTACTCTGCTTCATCTCGATTGCCAGAGAGTATGGCAATCTGGACCATCGTCAAGAGAGCCATGAGTATAGACTTGTACTTGGCAGTCTTGGGAATGTCGTATGCTGTCTTAAGCATAAGACAAACATGAAAGTGGGCTTTTTGATAATATGCTGTGCCTTGGTCTAGCCACTTGGCAGACGTATGAATGCCACCCAGGCTAAAGGCGCTGATAGATAATGTGCCGTAAAATGCACATAGACTTGCATGGTCCATCTTCTCGCCGAGTGTCAAGGCCGCTAAACAGCTTTTAACATGGGGGAGAAAGAGCACGTGCCATGGTGTCTTGCTGTGACGGTATGGAGTGAGGCCCCGAAGCACGATCGTCGCATAGTGTTTAACCAGCAATACAGCATCGCGCGGTACATCAGTGTCGACTTTGGACGATACTGAGCCTGAGCTAGGCGAAAGGTTTGATAGGTAGAGCTTCGGAGACCCAAGCTCAATTGTGGACGACCTTGCCAATGGGGAAGGGGGCTTTTGCGACGAGGCTGATTCACCCATCCAAGGTACGGCACTCTCAGTGCCCATGGCCACGGGATCCCACCAGTCGGGAAGATCGAAGTGCCCTGGATCCAGTAAGCTGCTCACAGGGAAGCTTTCCAGTGCTTTCAACCAATTTGTACGAGGGATGAGCGCGTTGTCTTGACCCGATAGTTGATGCTGAGCATCTAGACCAGTCACAAAGTCAAGTGTCGAGGTCACTACTTCCACGTCATCATCGAAGTCCGGGAGTAGCAATTGATCTTCTTCTCCGACAGCCTGAATTTGTGAAACTTCTATCGCGTCCTCTTCTTTTTCGTCCAAGGTGCTCAATGAATCTGAGGGCAATTGCTGCGTAATACGAAAAGCACCGAAAGGCCCCCTTGAGATTTGTAGGTCCGTAGACGTCCTTTCGCATTCTTCGTCAATTTGAGAAAGATGCCAACCGGCTAGTTCTGGTGGAACGTCCTGCGCAATCTGTTCGCTCAAACGTTCTCGTTCTTGTTCTGTCAATAACGGTCTTCGGAATCGAGCGACGCCCGTCGATGAGGGGTCATCAAAGTCGAAAAAGATGTCTTTGCTGTAGCCTCCGCAATCGAGACCAGAGATGTTACACATAGAACATCCGGGACGTCCTTCATCGCATTTCACACGACGACTGCGACACTGGAAAGGGTCAGTCTGGTATGGTGTTTTGATGGATTGTACGTACGGTAACACATCCTCCAAACGAACGAGTCCTCCGCCCTGGGGCCCGCTTAGTCTTTGCTGTGGACTTCCCTACAAAAGGAGGCATGGTGAAGAGAAGCTGTCTCCTCGACGAGACCTTCTTCTCAGCCGGGAATGCCCACTTGTAAAGGGTCCCAAGATGCAAGCATCGGCAATCCCGCCGTGGTGGAGAAGTGAGATAAGGCCAATCGCTTCCCCGCCTTTCGGTTATCGGTACCAATCCCTCTCTTGGGGAAACTTTCCTCTTCCAAGCAAGCGATGAACCATCAGCAGAGAACAAAGCCCTCCAGTTCGTATCGGTAGTTGACTCCTGCAGGGCGCACTTTGATCTCGTGTCCTTGGCATCATCACGTTGATAAGGTTCTCCCCGCACTTTGCAACGGCCTGTCACTTCAGCCAAACCTGTGATTGGGCGGGAATGATCCACTGTCGAAGCCACCATCGTAAAAGGAAAGTTATATCTGGTGGCGAGACATGTCGCTTTTCAGTGTGTGATAGCATGATAGGAAAGTCGAGCAGACTATCCTGTTCAAGCCATTGGCGGAGCGGAAAATGTGAAGGCAACTCCGATATGACACGATTGAATCATTCATCTCAAGATATATAGATGCAGTTCTGACGTTGGCAGTTTGCACCAAGCTCAAGCAACAAGACAGTTTTATCCACCGTTGATCATCGCACTGTTTACACTATCAGCAATGGGTTCTGTACCTCAGTCTACCAGCACTTTCGACGTTCTCATCCTGGGCGCAGGTCTCTCCGGCCTGTGCTCACTCTATCAGCTCAAGAAACGCTTCCCAGAATGGCGCATCAGGGTTCTTGATGCCGCTCCCGATGTTGGAGGCACTTGGTACTGGAACTCTTACCCCGGATGTCGATTCGACTCTGAGTCGCTGTCTTACTGCTTTTCATTCGACAAGGAGCTTCTTGAAGAGTGGCACTGGAAGGAAGCATTTTCTCCTCAACCAGAGACTCACAAGTACATCACCTACTTTGCTGAGAAGCACAATCTCAAGAAAGATGTTCAGTTCAATACCACGGTTACAAAGGCTACATGGAATGAAGGTGATCACACATGGACCTTTGTCGATGAAGCTGGTAATGAATACGTCTCCACGTTCTTTATCAGCTGCATGGGCTTCCTCTCTGCGCCTACTCTACCCGCAATTGAAGGAATTGAAGATTTCAGCGGCAAGCTCTTTCATACTTCTCGATGGCCCAAGGATCTCGACATCAATCGCGACTTTGTAGGCAAGAAGATCGGAGTAATCGGAACAGGCGCGACGGGCATTCAAATCACAACTGCCGTCTCCAAAGTAGATGGTGTCGAATCCCTCAGCGTCTTCCAACGGACGGCCAATTGGTCCGCTCCTCTTCGTAACTCCGAAATCACACTCGAGCAAATGGCCGAACACAAGAAGAACTATGACAATATCTTCAAGATTTGCGAAACAAGTTCATCGGGCTTCATGCATCACGGTGACCCTCGAAAGTCTCTTGAGGTCTCGGAAGAGGAACGCCTAGAGCTCTGGGAGAAGCTTTACAACACTCCCGGTTTTGGAAAGTGGCTGGGCGTATTCTCCGATACGTATACCGATCGATATGCGAACAGTTTATACTCGAACTTTATGGCTGAGAAGATCAGACAACGGGTTAACGACCCTGCTATTGCGGAGAGCCTTATCCCCAAAGACCACGGCTTCGGTACGCGACGAGTCCCTATGGAGAGTGGATATTTCGAGGCATTTAACAAGTCAAACGTTCACCTTGTTGATCTCAAAAAGACGCCAATCGATCGTGTCACGCCATCAGGCATCCTGACCTCAGATGGTAAGGGGCACAAGCTTGACATTCTTATCTGCGCTACCGGATTCAATGCGATTACTGGTGCCTTCAGTGCTATTGACTGGCATGGCAAGCAGAACAGGCCATTGATCGCGACCAGCGACAGCCCCAAGGGTGATCAAGCAGTCTGGGTTGACCACAGACCCCGAACATTCCTTGGCATCACTGTACCCTCGATGCCAAACATGTTCATGGTCCTTGGCCCCCATCAGCCCTTTGGCAACGCTACTCGCAATATTGAGCACGGCGTTCAAGTTATATCAGATATGCTGCAGTACTGCAAAGACAACGGCTACACTTCTGTTGAACCCACAGAGGACGCCGTCGAGCAATGGACCGAGCATGTGGTGAAGTGCAGTGAGAGCCAGGTTCTGATGAATGAGATTGATAGTTGGATGACAGGTGTAAACAAGAACGTCAAGGGCAAGAATGTTAGAAGTGTTGCACGATACAGTGGAAGCATTGGAGAGTATCGAAGGCGGTGCGCGGAGGTCAAGAAGTCGGGATACAAGGGTCTTTTTTTCGCATAGATCGAGGTTGTTAAAATTCGTTTCAGTTCATAAAGCATTTGCTCTTTTTTGTGCCGTAATATCTGAGGGAGACTTGGGCGCCCCGACACTGCTCAGAACGGGAAATATGTGCAATTGTGTTCGTGGGCCAAACAATTGACAACTGTGGCTTAGCAAAACATATCATAACGCTTGTAAGCGTATCATCTAGCATATATGAAAACCTGGATAATTACAGTAACACGCTTAAAGAGCCGTCTCAAGCGCATTCGGCAACTCAGTACGTATCTGGATGCATCTAAGCTCAGTAACCTACAGGCTACAGTGCCAGTCATTGATGAAACAGTTCAATTTAGTCAGTAAACAAGTCACGCGGTAAAAATCCATCACAAAGTCCCGAGAAGTCTCCGTTCAAGTCCAGCCTCTGTCGTGGAACTGCCTTCTCGTTATCATCTGCTCATCAGAATGAGGCCTTCCAGCGACTACGTTATCATGCATTCCCCGCATTTGAAACAGGAAAGTTATATCTGGGGGCTGATCATGGTGGGGCAAGCCCAAGATAGCGAGAACGCTCCATATCAAACCAGGAAAGCTTCTCCAACTTAGCTTCGGATATCGGTCCCCGAGTAACGGACCTGTCAATCATGGGACAATTGAGATGCAATAGTTATAGGTGTATAAGAACAACTCCATATTATGAGCATGGACATCAGCATCCATCATTTTTATCTAAAGAATTTCGCAAATCACTAGTCCCTGACCCCCGATACCTTTATTCCAATGGATGTCCCAGGATACGCTTTGATCACAGGAGGTGCTTCAGGTATCGGCCGAGCATGCGCCAGGGCCTTTGCCCGCGATGGCAGCGCCGGTATTGCACTCATAGACCTTAACCTTGAATCTCTGCAGATCGTCAAGTCTGAGATTGAAAAAGAGCAATTGTCACCAAGGAAGGACTTTAAGATTGAGATATACTCTGCAGACGTCACAGACGAGAACCGCATCAACGAGATTGTCGCAGATGTTGCACAAAAGTATGGCCGCATCGACTATGTTGTCAACGCAGCTGGTATTGCCATGAAGCATCAAGGCGGTGCAGCATTTGCCCATACAGCTGATTGGAACCGTGTTGTCAGCATCAACCTCACTGGAACATTCTTTGTCCTCAGAGCTACAGCACAAGTCATGTTGAAGCAAGAGCCCATTCGCTCATCTATCAACGGAAGGGAATTACAGCGAGGATCTATTGTCAACTTCTCTTCCATCCAGGGTGTTGTTGGTATTCCACTGTCGACATCTTACACAGCAGCTAAGCATGCCATCATCGGTCTCACGCGTTCAGCGTCCGAGGACTACGCAAAGGAGGGTCTACGCATCAACGCCATCTGCCCGGGATACACAGAGACACCAATGACCACAAAGAACCCCGAAGTGCTCAAGGCTATGCAAGAGCGTATCAAGACAGCTGTTCCCATGCAGAGGATGGGTGCACCGGAGGAGATTGCTGATGGTGTTTTGTATCTTTGTGGAGGACGAAGTTCTTTTGTTACTGGATCTGCCTTGGTTGTTGATGGCGGCTATACACAAAGGTAATGACGAGTGGGAGGATCACTGAGTTGGACGACTGGAGTTGGCATTAGGAGCTGGAACTTGGGTACCATAGAACAAGCAGCGGGCTGATCCGTCTTACGTCTTAGGTTAAGACGGTACAGGCATCTCAGATGACAATCGATGCTGAATCGTATTTCTGTACGCTTGTCTCTTTTCTTATGTCATAGTATGTGAGTGCAGTCCTGGTGATTGAAGCTTAATCAGGCTAAGTTCTATAGGCCTCACTGAGTTTTGGCGAGGTAACACAACTTCTTGATTCAAGATAGCATCGGCCATATGATATCTTTGTTGTGTCCTCAGCAAGCGATTTCCTTGTTTCTTCCATCCCAACGTTCCCTCACAAGGGTGCAGACGAAACCGGAACAGCAACTCCTTAGTCAGCGGGTTTAGCTCAGTTGGGAGAGCGTCAGACTGAAGTTAAACTTCAATCCTCACCAAAATCAAGTGATATCTGAAGGTCGTGTGTTCGATCCACACAAACCGCATCGAACTTCTTTTTGCACTTTCTTCCCGCAACCGTACCATAAATCCGCATCAGCACTGCCACTTGCATGCTTGTGAAGCTGTGAGCAACCCAGCCTCAAAACCGCGACATTAGACGAGCATGCTGATATCTAAGATGAAGTGTCTAATTTTAGAGCCAAGATCAGTCAGATCCCTGTTCCCTGTTCCTGGGGAGCGAAAAAAGCTTAAGGCTCTCTACTCTAAGTGACAAAAACACTTAGGTAAGTTTAGTATGAATTAAGAAGAGCCTTAGATTAATCTTTTGTGATACTTAGGATCAGTGCCCAGGGTTTTCTTGCCTCCCGTGGTCTGTTCAACACAGCCTCTATACGGTTTCAGCCCTAGGCAGCATTCTTACATGTGCCCAATCTCACCATCAACTCCATTAATTTAAATCTGCATTGCTTATTCTCAAGTTCAATTCAAAGGTCGGATCTTAAAATGACGGAGAAGCTCGATCACGGCCGTAGGGCCATGTCCGTCAATGGCGAAGTAGCTGCGACGATCTACAGGCCTCTAGACAATAACAGGCAAGAAATTCGACTTCTCACGCTTCTTCCGCCTCGAGACCAAGATGCAGATATTCACTGCACCCTTTCACACGCCGTACTCAACACTTCATCTGAGAATCCAAAGTACGAAGCCCTATCGTATGTTTGGGGGGAGCCTGATTTCTCGGAGCCGATAATTCTCAATAATCACACTTTCTTCATCACACCAAGCCTGAAATACATTCTATCGTGCCTGAGGCAAAGACAGAAGGATGGCCAACCGCGAGTTCTTTGGGTTGATGCGATCTGCATCAATCAGTCAGATGTCGAGGAGCGGGGTCATCAAGTCGCTCTCATGCGCGAAATATACTCAAATTGCCAGCGAGATATCGCATGGCTAGACCCGATGATAGGCACCAAAGACGTCAAGGCTCGTGAGCTCTACAGTCATGCCGATCTTGACGAAGAAGAAGAATGGGTGCAAAAGGGCATGGACTTGATGCGCGAGATCGCCGAGAAGAACCCGCAAACTCTGAAAGAGCTACAAGATCAGGCCCGACAAGGTTATCGTCTCCTCACAGGGTCGCAGCTCGTTCTCGGTGCCGTATTCAGGCAGCCAACACTCTGGAGCCGGTTGTGGGTCATGCAGGAGCTTTCCCTGGCCCCGCGGTTGACGCTCATGTCTCGAGATGCTGAGCTAAACTGGGATGTCCTGAAAAGCCTCTTCAAAGACGAGCCATACTTTGACGCGTTCCACATGGGCCGTCAGAGTAGTCATTCTCCCTCATATTATAAGGACTTTAGTGAAGTGTTCGTTCCCGTCAAGCTGATCGAGGACCAACGCCGTCTCATGTCACAGGGGTCCAAGCTCATGGATGTGCTTGTGCGATTTCGCGAAATGGAGTCGACAAACCCTCGGGACAAGATTTTCGGGCTCCTTGGCCTGGTCACGGAAGAGCACGGCATAAATGTCGACTATATGACGTCAGTGCCAGAATTGTATCAACAGGCGACAGCCTCTTTAATCAATCTCGCCGGAAATTTGGATATTCTTTGCCAAAACCCATTTGAACGCCCGGAAGGGCCTACAGCGCTGCGAGAGGGAGAACATAGAGTGCCATCTTGGGTTGCTGAATACGATAGCAAGCGTCGGCAATGCGCAACAATGCTCTTTGCCCAGCGCGACATCTTCAACGCTGGTGTCAGGAACTGCAAGACTCCATGTCGACTCATCGGCCCCGAAAAGGATATCCTGATCACCAAAGGCACCATTCTTGGAACAGTCGCACCTGTCCTCCAGAATGACAAACGACTTTCAGCGTTCGATGTCATGAACCTTTACCTTGGCAAGGAAGCACTTGAGCATCCCCAGGAGCATCTGTATGCCCCGAAAGTCGGCGGTAAAGAGATATTGACAGGCGAGACTGCCATTCGTGCATTCTGGCGAACAATGGTAAAGGATTGCACTCTCCCACCAAGAATGCGTCGGTTGAGACAAACCGAAATTGAGAGGTTGGATGTTGAAAACCAAGAGCAGTTAAAAAGTGAATGGGGCCCCCTACAGACATATCGTTTACATTTTGGCAACAAATACTCGAGATCTGCATTCGGTTACCAGCCCACCGATGACGAGGATCTCACTAAGCTTGATATCGAGGGTCAAATTTCACATCATTACAGCCCTGGTAGCTTCATGTTCGCGGCCACAGATAATGGGCTCTTTCTAGCCACGCGCTTTGCTGCGAAGGAGGGCGATGTTGTGGCTGTCCTTGATGGGGGAAAGGTACCTCTGGCGTTACGTAAGGTTGAACCTAGGGATGGTGTTGAAGGTGAGGTGTATATGGTTGTTGGTTCGACCTACGTGCATGGTTTCATGGACGGTGAGGCGGAGGCTAGTGTCACTGAAGGTTGGTTGCAGAAGCGGGAGATTCTGATCGCGTGATTCTTCAAAGGTAGACCGAGGTTTTGACCATCACAAGTTAGGAGAGCTCTGTTCATACGAATCATGGTGCTCTATAGTGATACTTGCTCGGGACTACCGGAACTTAGTCCACCTTAGGTTCCATAGTTGGTTGCGAACAACAAAGTACACTGTTAACAGATAAAACCTTTCCCACTTTGACTACGATTGTACCGTCAATGAGAGGATATGTAACATTACTGGAAGTCGTTTTCATCGTCATCATCCCCCTTGAACATATCCCAGACTGCTTCCAAGTCACAATCGTCAATCGGGTTGGATTTTAGAGCCGCTTCGTGGTTCATATGCGCCTTATGCAGTCTCTCCTTGCATGTTTTCACCATTCTTTCAGCATTCTCGAGCTTGAGAGCTCGTAGGGCACGTGCATCGAAGGTCTTCTTGAGGTTGCTCACCGCGGCTAGAGTTTGACTCGGTCCATGGAGTCTCTCGTCAGTTTGGCGAAATGCCTTGTCGGCTTCTTGCTTTCGATTACGAGCTTGGACTCTTTCAGCTTGGGTTACTGCCACAGAGCAGTCGCGATGCAAGATGTCCATCAGTGCTTGCTCAGCACCTCTTTTAACTGAGAGGACGGTATCAAGTTCGATGTCCAGTATGCGGCGGGCAGTTTCTATTCGATCAGAACTAAGCTTCCCGAGAACTTCATCGATGGTGATTTGAGGGTTCGTATTTCGAGTCGAGTTCGAAGTCTTGTCTTCATCGTCTTCGAGGGCTCGCTTCGTGACTTGTGGTGGATCTCGTAATTCATCTTCCATGGGCGCTATCGTATCGTGGAGTGCCGATGGGAGTCGTTGCTTGGCTGACGAATCGAGAGCAGAAGAACTCAATCGTGAAGCGGTGCTACTTTCTTCGGGTGCTTCTACTTCAGAGTCATCACCTGTCGTGGAACCTGTATTGCCATCAGCCGATGCTCTGCATGTCACGGTATCTTCAAGATTTGGGGCAGGCGGCTTCAGTCAATTGGCGGACATAACTTACCCAGGGACGAAGTGCAATCATTACCCTTCTCCGCCTTCGACGAACTCATGTTCTTGCGTGCGTGGTTCACCATTTTCTTGGTAAGGCGTCCAGATTGTGGATGCTTGTGTTTTGGGTTACGTCCCGCTTTCCTGGTGGCCAGGTCTTGATCGACGACATTCCTGAGGTATCCTCCAGACTCCCAGAGAGAAGGCAACGGAATGTTTTTGATCATGGCTTCCTCGGTGATGTTCTTCAGGCCACGGACAACACTACGGCAAGGTTTGGAAGGCCGCAGCAGATCGGTAGGGAACCAGTTTGGCCCTTTCCACTCTTTGTTCAGCCAATCGATGTTGGCCTCATGGATTCTAAGCCTGGCTTCTTTTTTAATCTCCGAATTCGACTTCTTCATCTGCGCCGTGGGAATGTTGATCTCGAGATCCTGTTTGGCTGAAGCCATGTTCAGCGTGTTCGATCGATGTTTCTTGAGGACGGCACTTGACGTCGGGTTGGTGCGAGCCTAGCCAAATAAGTGTTAGCAAAAATCTGTACAAGTATCTGGGAGACTCCCCAATGGTGCTTCAATAGATGAGATGTTTGTCGAGTCTGGGGGGCTGCTGTGAAGATGGGGAGAATGCAGTTAAAGAGAAAGTTGAGATAATCTTTCTGGTGTTGTTTTGGGAAGAACCTCAAACGCGAGCTTCGTGCGCGTGATTCGTGAAGGTGACGGGCAACGTGTTTGGTAGGTATCTTCAAGCAGTGCCTGCCAGCTGTTGGCTCTTGAGTCACTACATCGTGCTCTGCCTGACACTGGAGGTGACCGGCTTACCTGAGCAGCATAGACCTTTGAAAACCAGCAATACTCGGAGTTAAAATGTCGCCATTCACTGCAAGGCTATCGGAACAGAATAGCCGTGATCTCGAAGATCATTTTTGTACCGGTTCGAGCGCTTCGTGTCAAAACACCAACCAGGGCATTTGCTTGATTGTGTTATCACACTGAAGGTTCGAAGGCGACATCGAAATGAGGACAGCCAGTACTCGCAGATTGGGCTATATTAGTACTATCAGTAGATGACCGAATTACTTTCCATCGTCTGTACCCCGTAATGTTTACCGGCGTGATTTATCAACCTGGAGCTACAATCGGATGCAGTTCTCCCCGTGGAGTCGTGAAGCGATCGCATTCATGGATGCAACAGTGCAGATCCGTAGGGCTGGTGGCATAACAAAGCCACTAAATCTTGATAACCCGGGCTCAAAATGTCCAAGACCTCCTGTCAGTTGGGGGCGGTGATGTCGTTGTTCAACACACGCAGTCCACGCAGCGCTGAGTTCCCCTTTTCAGGCGCTCAGCCTGTAGAACCGTATCGCAACGGACATTATCAGCCACTCGTCTTAATCCAATCTTCGTAATATCTGCACTTGGAAGTAATATGGGCCAAATGGACATTAAAGACCTCTTTACAAGTTATTTAAGTGTGATTTCATAACGCCGATCTTCCGCTGCAGCTTGCGAAATATATGTTCCACGATTGACCAAGCATGTTTCCTATTCTACATTCTCTCTCTTACCATCAACATCACCCTTAGCATCATATATAATACACTTTTGGGCTTCGTGTATCCTTTTCAATTTCTTGCCTCTCTCTGCACTGACTTCACTATGGCAATGGTATGTCATCAACCCCAGCAGTACGCTCCATCTCTGGGTCCGCTACCGCAGGACACCATGTATGGGCACACTCAATGCCATAGCCATCCCATATATCATCCACCGCCCACTCAGATGCAAGGCCTAGCTCGGTTCAAAATCACCAAACCTTCTTTCCACGACCGCTACGAGTGCAAGCCCGACAATGCACCCGGCGGTCCTGTCCTTTACAGCCTTGCCATCTCAAGTAATCAGAAGAAGCACCCCGACTTGGTCCTGAACGCCGAGGGGGTCGCAATGGTTGCTTTCTATCTCCCAAAGATAAGCAATTAATACAACAGCAGTGAGAAGATATTTCGCATTGGTCTCGGAGATCCGCTAAATGTTCGGTGGACAGAAATGCTGTACCGCGGAAAGGACAAATACGGCTGGACATTTACCTTTAATCTTCCAAACACAGGACGGCCCGTTCCAATGACTTGGAGGAAGGGCAACAGTGTAGCTGTAGACGGTATGAAAGCTTCTCGTTTGAGCGACAATAACTTCAAGCTGCTGGATCCAAATGGCCAGTTCATGGCAGTCTTTACAAGCCACACCATGAGCTTGCGTCTCAGTGCCGTTGGAACTTTGCAGATCAACATAGATCTCGGCCCTATGTCTGAGTATGCCGTCATCACAACTTTCCTGCTCATCTACGAATTTCAGACGCGCGAAGAAGACATTCGATCAAGTCGTATCAGCGCTACGGGTGCCGCTGCCTCCAGTAGTTGTTGTTGATCATAGGACTTATGTAATAGATTAAAATGTTGACAGAGAGGCCTGCTGTCTCCAGTCATACACCTTGCCACACAAGGTAGAAGTTACATAACCTTCAATAAATTTTGGTATGGGCGTGTAGGTTTCAGGTATGTCATCATGTTAAGAAGTTTGTATGAACCTTGGTATATCCGGGCGTGGTTGATCCAGTCAAGAGCTCAAGAATTACAACTCCCTTCAATACAGTTTACGTCGCCCAACTCTATCCTTGTAATTTTGGCTCATCTCTGTTCTCTTGACTTTAAGAAGCAGCAAAGTTAAATAAAGGTTTTTATCTCAAAATATGTCAGGACAAGGAGTCTATAAATACCCCCACAAAGTGCCTTTAGTCCTCCCCCTCGCTGTTTCTCGCTCTTTCAATTTAACATATCGCTCCCCTCTTCTTCTTCATTCGTCAATATGAGTTCGATATCGCCTCTGTGTAGTCTTCCAGCCGAGCTACTTCTCATGGTTATGGAGTGCTTGGAGTGTCCTTCCAGCATAAGAGCGTTCGCCTTCTCATATCCCAAAGCCTTGCATCTACTCCGGGTACACCGTCAACGTGTTGTGGGAACAGCCGTACGGGCCTTTGACCGAAAGCTTCCAATTGAAAAGACATTCGGATATGACGTTCGCGCTTGTCGCTTACGCTTAGCTTTGCGAAATGTGGCGTTCTTAGATCCTGCAGAAGCGGAACAAGAAGTATGCAAGGCAGACTTCTATGGCGAGTGGTGCAACTTGAAGCTGCTCTGCGAGATGGCCAGTCTCAACAATGAAATCGACCGATTCATCTCAAGGTACTCAGTTCACGCTTGGAGCAAGATCCAAGACGACTATGCTAGGGTGTTCTCACATCGAAGGGCCGGTGTATCGAGGTTTGAGCCTTACCGAACGGTTGACCTTACTGACAGCGAACTGAGGCGGTTACGAGAAGCATTCCTTGGCTTCGAATGCAAGCGACATCATCTTGTCTACGACAAAACCCTATTGCATGAGACAAAGCTACATCAAGCTACGCTTTTTCCAATCTATAGCGAGGATTCCTTCTCAGAAGGGTACTCTATTCACAACAGCTTCAATGGCGCCTGCCTGTCCATTTTCTGCTTTATATTCCAATGCTATGAAAATCTCATACGACGCGTTGATCGACAACTCGAGCTTGAGGAATTGCGCCGAGATTCGGAACCTCGACGCTCTGAACTCGTACGTATTGCTAGGTTCCGTGCGAGGACTCGAGATAAGGAGCTACGTTACATTGCTCTGCTCTGTCTGCAGGGCTATGTCTGCCTCACCGTTGCAGAACACTATACCAATGGTGAACTCCGCCAGTTCGTTCTCGGGAGCTTCATGTGGTTTTGCAAAGATGGCACGAATAATATTCCAGACCCTTGTGGTAGGTTAGTGTCTAATCTTGAGCACTTCAGCCCAGAGTATTATTCGAATGGTGATACAGCCTATGAGCCCTGGAGCCGAGGACGATTCTTCTGGGATCAAGCGCGTATGTTAGAACTCCGGCAGCGCGTAACACTCGACTAGTTTACCAGTAGACTTTATAATGCTCATTCTCTCAATCAAAGATCTCTTAGTACTTACACAGGCTGGCCTTGGTGAGACAATGAATAGATACGATGCTGTTTGGCTTATAAGCCAGGTCCGCGCCCCGTTGGGCTAGGCCATCGGTAGGGGCAAGGTAGAAGCTCATTAGCGCCTGGTTCGGCCGCTGAGGAGCTGCGCCATCGTCCTTGTTTCAGATTCTGACGAAGAATTCTGTGAAATATGGGATATGGGTTCTCATCCTTTACGTTTACACATCATGCTATAATCTCTCGTCCCAATGGTCCTGTGGCATTGATGGTAGGGAGATACGGCGCTGGCGCCAAGCTCAGCGACTCATTATCTGCATATTTTCAGATATTTCATCTGTAAGAGATCATCTTATTCTATCCCCCGGTCTGTTTCTTGGAGTCGTGAGATGCCGTTGATGCATTGAACCGTTGCACGGGACATAAAAGTTACAGAGGTCCTATGGTCTTATCCTGACTCCATATGGACCTTTGACCGGCCCTAAAGGAGGAGGAAAATATCCAGCTCTTGGAACAGATTTGAAGGGTTTATTAGCCTAGATCTATTTTAATGGGCCAAATTTACCTGAGTTATTCTATCACTCAAGATAAACGTTCCAAGTTTTCTTCCTTGCTCACCCTGTCTTATGGCTGGAGAGACTGGGGTTTGTCGTTTAGATAAGGAAGCACCGCTAAGATAAGAAGTAAACGATGCGAAAATCCTCTGAAACCCACTGTAATTTGAGGGCACAGTCCAAGCATCGCCCTGTTTCAAAGACAGAGTCGCATTGACGGAACATTAGTGCTTATGATCTCGAATTCTAACCAATAAAACACGCTGTAGATATTGAGAAACCTTGCCCGACAATCGTCGGGTTAGAACGTAGGATTCTGTCACGTCCCTGATGCCGATACCAATTTCCAGCTTCCCACTCGATCCATGGGGCACTCCTCAGAGCAAGAAAACTGCTGACATTAAATAGTGGTGCCAGAAATATCTGATTTAAGGTTCACTAAATCTGTACTGGGTTATTCTTACTTTGCTCACGTCTTTTTGTCACTTGGAACAGACGTTTTGAACTTTTCTCGGCTCCCGAGATTGTTACACATGAATAAATAATTGTGACGATCCCATTGCTAACGGTTTTTCTCGTTTCCGGCAACACTCTTTTTTACACTCCTTTTGACACTCATTTTATCTTTGTTTATTCAGTATGAAGTTCTTGTCGCTCTTTAGTTTCTCTTTGGCAGTCGCTGCTTGCCGCAGTACTCCCTCACCCCAAAAGTCGGCCAAGATCGACGTTCACGCTCATTTTGTTCCCGATTTTTATGCCAAGGCCTTGAAAGAGGCTGGACAAGTACCTGGTCCAGATGGCATGCCCTTTACTCCCGTGAGTACTGCACTGAAAACCCATTCATGAGATAGGCATAAGCTTATATCAGTAGGAATGGGATGCCGAGTCTCATCTGCAATTTATGAAGGAAAACAACATTGAGAAATCGATTTTGTCAATCTCAAGCCCTGGAGTCTACCTCAATGTTCCGTCCAAGGATGCCACCAAGAAAGCTATCAAGTTGGCCCGTCGAGTCAACCAGTATGGATCTGAGGTGAAGGCCAAGTACCCCAAGCAGTTCGGCTTTTTTGCGTCACTTCCGCTGCCTGATATCAAGGCCTCCTTGAAAGAGATTGACTATCTCTTCAAGCAGCTCAACCCGAAGCCCGATGGCATCGTCATGATGTCTAACTATTACGGACTGTATCTCGGCGATCGTGATCTTGAGCCCATCTACGACGCGCTCAATGAGCTCAATGTCACTATCTTTGAGCACCCTACCACCCCATGCACTCAGTTCAACAAGATGCGTTTCGACATTGACAAGACCGCTCCCTCCATCTCGCAACAACAATGGCAGGCTCTCAACCGGCCAGTCGCCGTGCGACAATTTGCTGCTCCTACCTTGGACTTCCCTTTCGAGACAGCGCGAACCTTTGCCGATTTATTCTACACGTCAATGCCGACCAAATTCCCCAACCTCAGGTGGATCATGTCCCATGCTGGCGGTGGTCTGATCCCAACCCTGGACCGCATTATCACCTACAGCGCTCTTTACCCTGGTCTCAATTTGACAGAGGCTTCGATGAAGCAAACCCTCTCTGAGAACTTCTACTTCGACCTTGCTGGACCTTGGCCTGTCAACTTCGCCATTCCTGCACTGCTTCGATGGGTTGATTACACCAGAATCGTTTGGGGATCGGACACTGTCTTCACGCCGATGTCAGAAGCTGCCAAGTATGCTGCTGCTTTCGATAAGGATGTTGCAGAGGTATTCCCGGATCCTCGAAAGGCGAACGCGATTCGAGCGACTAATGCTCGAGGTCTATTCGGCTAAATGCGAGTCCCCGCTCCGCGAAAGCTTTGCCAGGTGGTGAATTGGTACAGCGGCAATGTCGCTCCAGTACGTAGTATTAATATATCCTTCTTGAATTCTTATAATCTTGTTTTTCTCTCGGGAACCTTCTCTAGGAGAGGCAAGAAGACCCAGGACCTTGGCTATAGGCGATCAAAATGTTGAGGTAATTTAGCCTAAGCTTAGGGGATGCTTTACTGAGTTTGTTTTGGCATTCTCCTCTAAACTTTTAGTTTTCTTATTTCTTGAGGACCTTCCAGTCTTTAAGGATAGTCTTGTGCACATAATAGGCGTCGTAGATAAAGGTTGTATGACATGATGGTGACTTATAGCCATGTCATTCATCCGGGAGATCATCCTTTTCCCACCAACTGACTATTCTCATTGGTGGACTCTACCCCAGATTCCTTGAGACCTCGGCATTGATACCCAGAAAAGATGAGCTTGTGGCCCATGCCATCGGGTCAACATCGTCCGAAGTAACGTTTTAAGCTTCCCCGCCGGTTTCTCCAGAATTCATCCACGGCATCTGGGTTTAATGCTGGCGGAATCTGCTGATCCGGATAAATTGAAGTTTCGTATTTAAACCGCCACTGAATCCTTTGAGAGGATCTTTTATCATGTCAGACCAGATTGACACCGAAAATATCAGGATGAAGTCAGTTCAAATCCCAAGCTTATATCTTGGGCCGTTAGTGCTAATACTGAACTTAGGCTCGACCCCAAGCAACTCACAGCCTTTCTGGCCGCCAACTCAACTGGCGTTGGTGTTCTAGTATGCCCCGGTGGTGGCTACAGTGTGATGTCTATTAGCTACGAAGGATTTGGTCCGGCAGAGTACCTCAGCACGCTTGGCATCGACGCATGGGTTCTCAACTACACAACGGCCAGCATCAAAACTCCGCCACTGTATCCGACACCTATGGACGAAGCCCTGGCTGCTGTCGAGATGATTAGAAAGCAGAGCCCTGGAACCAAGAAGTTGGGCATCATGGGCTTCTCAGCTGGTGG